AAAAGCCAAAGTATCGACTCTCGGAGTCGAAGACTCTGCGCTATCGTCGTTGTTGTCGCCTGCTATCTTCGAGTCTAGTTAATGCACGGGGACTGGCCACACGCAGTCGTGCATACGAACGACGAGGAGCGTCGTACGACATGCAAATACCGTCGTATAATTGCTAATGTCACGCAATCGACTCGACAGCGCCGCGACGACGGCGACGAGGACGACAATAATGATAATGATAATGACGACGGCGCTTTAACACGAAGCCGTATCCATTCCCCAGAAAAAAACTGTAAATATATCGTATACGTGAAACGTTCATTATAGAAGCTAGTGGTACGATATATCGCATGAGACATTAATAAGAATAAACGTCTTCGGCAAATTGATATTGTTTGCTTGTGGTTTGCAAATTTAGTCTTTTCAGGTATCATTGACAAATTGTCAATCGACAAAGCTAAATATTCATTGCTATTCGAATATAATACGACTTTTTGATATTCGACGTAAAAGAATTTTAACTAAAATACATAAATATCTAAACAATCACATACTATTTCACATAATAATTAAAGATTAAGATAGAAAACATTTTTTTCATACTTAAATATCTCGAGATACATCATATATGTCTAATTCTACGTTGAAAAAAATTTCTGTTTGAAAATGGACGAACTAGATAATTTTAATCATATTAATAATATAAAAATTCTGATTATCTCAACTAAAATTATACTAGTATTTAATTAGAATTCTAATTAATGCAATCAAACTATTTTTCCAATGATAATGTTTAGATATCTAGTCTCACTCTCAGCATAATCTCAGAAAATAAAGTTTTTATAAAATAATTAATATATATGGTATATATACATTATTTTATGAATACAATTAATTTATGTATATATACGTTGTGCGACATTGTTTATTCTACTTTCATATGACGACAAATCGCTATCTCATAGTGTTATTCGCTCCAACGTCCAAATTTCAAGTGGAAATGGTCGAGCAATAGGGAGAACAGGGAGTACAGCCAGCAATAAGCGCGACGATGTCGTAAACGACATTAATCCGTGCCACCCCCCGGAGAAGTGCATTTATAAGCTGCCCCTGATTTCACGCCGCAGTGAGGATAATTTACACTCATGTAGTGCACTGACCGCATAATTTAAAACGTTGATTTATGCGCTTTATTAGTTCGATGATTACGTTTCATTTTTTTCTCTTCTTTTTCTGCAATATGGCGCAATAATGATTGATATGCAATGTAGCAAATACTTTTACCATTTTATAACAATTATTGTTAATTGATCACAGCAATATACGAGTGGCCGATTATATAATACATATATTAATGATTGAATGAGAATAAAAATGAGAATTTTGAATTTCAAATAACATAAAAGTACAATAAAATATTATTTTTGATTTAAAAGCGTGAAATAATTGTAATAACAATTCTAAATGTTACAATAATATATATTATAAAATCTTTTAGCAACAAATTTTGAATAAAAATTGATATAAATACGAATTAATTTTTAACATTTTTTTCAGAATTATCACTTTTAATTAATTTAAATAAGTAGCGATATTTGAGATCGTTCCAAGATATCACAGATTGCATCTGGTTATTCCTTTTTACACTTTTACAGGAAAAAGAATATTTTTTAGTGTCTTAGATAAATCGATTATGTCTGTCGCCAGAATTCAATCAATGTTAAAGAGTCGTTCGATCGGAGGAAGAAAAACGAGCAGTGCAAGGCGCGTGAAGGTAGTGTGACCACGATGAGAGAAAGAAGGAACGGGGAATGTTGATGCCATTGCACTTGTGTCGTTGCAATCGCATTACATCGTCGCAACCGCGATGCATACGAAGTAATCTCGTCGCGGTGGGCCCAGACGGGCTGTCGCCGCGGCGCATTCTTGTGGCTGACTTTAGATGAATAGAGACGAAGATACGTGCGAAAACGGGAAAACTAGGATAAAATGGTTAGACAAAGACAGTCGAAAATGCGCAATCGGGAAATTTCACGAGATATGAAAACGACAAAGAAGAGGTGGAGATGGCAGTCGATAACATTCAAAAGAGCTTGATGTTTCTGTCATAGCGGCGCGAAAAATCCGGCGAGGGAACATCCATCTTATTTTTGCAGTCTTCATACTTCTCTCTTATACATTTTATTTAAATTTAAATGATTTATTACATCTTCCAGCATATCGTTTAATTATTCTTTTTACTCATATTTATGATTGCAATACACTTTTATTGTGTTGCAAATTTGATTTTAAAATGTTCTTCGCTTGCTCGAAAAGAATTCATTTTTTTTTTGTTTTATGTGTATTTTATCCATATAAAGACTTAAACCTTAAAAGCGATGCTCAAGTTTCGTTCGTGTTTTATTACGTCGTACTGACTAATCATTTCTTCTCAAAAAGTTTATTGACTAAAAAAAATTTTCTGATTGAAAATGAAGTATATAATCACATCAATAATTCTGGTTATATATTTCAATTAGAATTATATAGGTTCAAGATTAGAAATTCTGATTTGTTTATTTTCACCATAATTCCAAATTCCAATTTAATGCAACCAGATTCTTTTTTCAGTGTACAAAAAATGTACATCAAGATGAGCTGTTCTCGAATTACTCAAACTCCGTAATCGCATCTTTCCATCTATCAAAGATAAATATCGTGTGTGAACAAGTGTCGGAAGTGTTGAATTGAATATGTATTTATCCCGCGTGTTTGCCAATCCGCGCGCGATTATCTGATAAAATTATAGATAACATCGTAATAATTTAATCTATTAGAGACCATATAATAAAAATCTGTCCTGTTTATTGAAAGCGGATTAATTTATTGATTGATTGTTACTTGTAATCCATTCGGTATATGTATAGTTTGGATAGCTTCGTACACTTTTGAAAAGTGAGAGAAAAAAAAAGAGATGTAGCTATCCGTCATTTTTTTTGTTTTGATTAAACTCTTATTATAGAAGCTCTAATTTGTATTTCTTTTCATCCGATTGTATATATATATAATCATACGGAATATGTCACTTGATAGTGATAGTGATAGCGTAAGTGCAAATGTAAATGTATTAAAGTTATTTAAATGATAAAAATAGTGTGATTGTGTAAAGTGAATGAAGTTAGAAGGATGCATACCAAGAAATAGAAAAGAATGAAACAATAGCGACACTGAATGAGTGTTGTATAAAAATTGAACTTGTCAAACAAAGTGAATTGATTATGCAATATTTTTTAGTATATAAGATCGTATCTAATTTCATCATCATTTTCTGCTAAGTTTTTAAGTTTCAATAAAATATTCGATATATAAAATTGTTTTATCAGCTCAATTTAAATATAACAAAAAATGACATATATCAATACTCTTCTTATTGTTAATTTTAATTTTAATTTCTAAAATGAGATATTGGAATCAGACGTAAGATGATATCTCAAAATATCTTATCGTGATATTTTATGCAAAACTGTACTCTCACAGCTTCTTCATCCTTATATAGAATCTTATTTCGTGCAATGATTTGATTGATATTCACCCTGATGGACTTTAAAGGGTAAACGACCTCGTCAAATTCGAAAATACGGTGATCGCGAGACTCAACTTGCAAGTTTCATCTTTTAAGACTACCTTTACACCATTTATATCGATTTGTGCAATGTACAATTTTCTTAGCATTTTATACTGTATTATAATTAATGTATAAATGTGAATGTATGAAAAAGTACACATCGCCCATTTTTGCTAATTTATTAATAGTAACATCGTCGCACTACTTTGAAATTCCTATACCTTCATGCCCCTATCTAATTCCTGAATCCTCTTTGTCCCCGTCCGGCTAGAGTTAATTATTCATGCGCTCCATTTTGCCACGTTTTACTTTCATGACCGCTAATAACTCGGGATCTGTGTCTAATCGAATTTATGCAAATGACAATTAGATGTATACAAATACGTTTGCCCGCACATGTATCCCTGGGTATACACATTTCGTACATACATATACACGAGATGGAACAATTTACCGGAATTACTCGGTTGTCTTTGTTGTCTCGATAAATATGCAAAAATGTTTCGCACAGAAACTAGTTAGAAAGAGGACCGTATGATAATGTAAAAGTAGCGATATTTCCATTAAAATTCTTAATTGGTATAACAAGATATGACAAAGGAAAATATTAGGTAAAAATTTTTTCATTTAATGTGATAAATTGTAAAAAATTCAACTTGTCACCGACAAATTTCGAGAGATCAAGTTACTATAATTATTTGGAAAATGCACAAAATTACGAATGAAAAGCGCGCTTCATTATCCAGCTGCCAACGTAATTATATTAACATTAACGAATTTTAATTAAAACGCCTCGTTATAGCAGGGAGCATATGTTCGGATAATTAGGACCCTGTATATCTTGGACGTTTTGGACTTCAGTTATAGTGTTCGCGTTTTGTGATATATCCGACTTGTATTTATATACACATTTATAATTCCAAAAACACATCCGGTAGAGAAAAATTTAAAAAGAAAATAAATTGTACTGTCAACTGATTGTCGTACATGAAGTAGCAATAAACTAAAATAAAAATGAACTGAATGTGATTAAAAAACAATAAACAAATAATAAAAGCTATACATTTGTTCTATTATAAAATCTGTTCAATGCATGTTTTGCATTAAAAAGTACAATAATAACTACATAAAGAATATAAATATTTAAACAATGAAATATATTTACACAGAAAACAATATATATAATAAGGTCTGTATAACTTTTTTTTAATAAAGTAAATTTTATAAATAAACATTAAATATTAAACAGTTTTGCAAAACTTTATAATTACTTCATGTTAGAATTTTGTTTGATTTAAGTTTGTTTGATGGACGACGAAACACGATGGTTAAACGAGCATTAACATAGATGCATAAATCGTAGATGTACCATAACATAATTCACATTGCAGACGACATTACTCACCGGCAAGAACCCCGGCCATGTAAACCGCGGCGATCCTCAGGCTTCCATGAACCATTTCTAAGGGAAGTCCCACGACCACCTGTACCCCCAGGTTAAACAGCAGGTGAAGCCACCTGAAAAAAAATGTAACCGCGTGGTAAATTACTAAGGCATGTCAATTGTTCTGTTGGAGCACGAGGTACTCCAGGAATTTAATTCAATTATGGCTCAATTTGCATGCAAGCAACCTTTGAAGTATGTCTATGACATACTTCATGTAGAATTAATTGCAGCAATTGCAGTAACGTTATAGTAAATATTAGAATACATATTAGAGTATCTTTTTTCGAATATAAATGCAATAATCAGAGAGTCGTTAAAAATAAAAATCATCATATTTAATAACAATTGCAAAATTATAAATTAAAATTAAAAAAAAAACAATTATATTGATGCCAAGTATTGAGATTATTTATGTCGATATCGCGATCACTATATTATAAAATAATTAGGTACAAGAAATTCTCTCTTTCACGTAACCGTCGCAAAGTTTAACCGAGAAAACCAAATTAACATGTCGGTACAACTTCAGTCGCCGAAGATCTTGAAAGTTCGCGATGTAGATCCGAGAAAGGAGAGGTTGTCGTTAATCGTGAATTATAACGCCGCGGGCAGTCGGCTGTAGTTTTAATTAGGAACATCTCGTTAGCGATATTCCTCTCGTCGCGGTAGATAAGACTCGACGATGAAACCGGCCAGAGCGCCGGGGGAAAAGTCGAAAATGAGTACGATCAGACGGTTCGTGGCTATCGGCGCGGCCAAGAGAATTACGTTAATTGTGCTTCTCTTCGAATTGTAAAGGAAGGAATGAAAAGCGGCCAAACAATATCCTTATTCGCTCGAGGCATCGTTTCGACAAGAATGCCGCCGAGGAAGGTTACGGAGAGCGCCGCGGAGTGAAATAATTGCGAGATACGAGCCGCGGTCGGAGCAAAGTTTTATCAGCGACTTCTGAGCCGCAGAAGCGAAAATCCGACACCCAGCCGTTATCACGAAACTTCGGCCGACTAATTATTACATCTCGCGAGCGCGAATGCAATGTCAGACTGAGAGGTAACAATAAATCTTGCCGGAAATGGCGTAGAGTTTCGCAGTTTCATAAAATACCGCGAAATAAAAGGAGAGAAATAAACGTTTACGTCACAAGGTATCTCGGTGTCATTGGGTCGAGATTAGAGCCAAAGCCAGTGAGATTTCGGGCAAATTCGGCCGCGAAACGGCTGGTACAATAGCAACGTGAACGATAAGAGGAAAGCTGATACGATCGAGACGCTGATCCTCGGATAATTTGGCCGACCAGCCGTGGCTATCGGCGAAAGAAAGCTCAGCAAGGAAAGAGACTGTAGAGCAATTATGAATATTATCTCGAAGTAAGAGAAGAAACTTTCTAAGCTCGAAGAATGATCGTTCTTCTTATCTATCGTGTCGCACGCTCGAGAGCGTGGAAAATCTCGGAGAGCGATTTCAGTTGATACGGTCGCGAGATCTAGGTTGTCGTGAGAACATCCACGACAAATGCTACACTTTATTTTTTTTATTATAGTACAAATAATTCTGCTGTAATACAACAGAACTTGATTATATCATAATAAAAAGCCTGATTGTAATCTAAGAGAGCATGTTATTTTTTCTTAAAAAATATTATCATGCTCTTATAAAAAGCATTTTATTTTTTTTTTAAGAGTTCTACAAAAGAGAAACCAGGTTTGTTTATCTTAATTGAAAAATAAGTCGCATTTCTCACAAAATTACTTATAAAATATTCTTACAAACTAATTTAGTTTTCTTAATTTGTTTCATTTACAAATAATTCTACTGTATATATACAATAGAACTTGATTATAGAATATCATAATAAAGAATTTAATTTTAATATAAGAAAGCATATTATTTCTTTTTAAAAAATATTTCATTCTCCTTTAAAAACTCTTTTATTTTTTAAAGTCCTACGTAAAAAGAACAAGTTACTCTCTAAAACTCGAAAATCTCATTCTAAAGAGTAAAATCTCATTATTAAAGATTGAAAATTGAGCCATTCTTTTTAAAAACTAGCTCAATTTTCACTCTTTAGAATGAGACTCCATTCCAAAGAATTTAGAAAGTATAGATATTTCTTATAAATTACTTATATAACGTTCTTGTAAACTATTGTACATCACAACTTCCTTAATTTTTAATTTTATACAGAAGACTCTCTGTATGTATTTTCTGCATTGTTATTGATTATTTAATTTTTTATATTAAGAAAAGAGACGCTTGCTAAAAAAAATTGGACATTGATAAAACAAGCATTTTATTCAGGCTGTAATTCAACATGTTATACTCTCTTAATTTAAACATGTCTCCGTTAAATCGGTGACGTGAATTTCTTGCGGCCATTGAATTTTCCCTGGTGGAACAAGATTCAATTGAAAAGAGAGAAAGACACGATTCCGTAGAGGTCTCTTTGCATCAGGGCACGGTCGGCCGCAATTAGACTGCGTATACCGTAGTCTCGTAACCACGACGTGCGCCTAGGAAGCGTCCAATTTGCATTGAGTGCGAGTCTAATAGTCGTCGTGTGCCCCGTCGCAATGCGGTCAAACGGAAAGAATGCGATCGTTGAAACGCTCGAGCGTCGTTCGCAAGCGCGTCGTCTCATCGACAGAAATGGATGCCACGATCTTGGGGCCTTTGTGGTCGTCGCCATTACCAAGGAACGAAGTCCATAGGGGTAAGGGAGAGGGACAAGCGAGGCAATCGTGATTAGGTCAGAATTAAATCAATGCTCGGAATTCCAACGGGTTTCTTGTCGCCTCGTTGCCGCGCGAATGTAAATGGCGATGTCCCGATCGCGGGGGCGGAAAACCGGAGATCGCCGCCGCGTCGGGACAGACGTGATGTATAGGCGTCGATACGTTTTCAGAATGCAATCATCGGAATGGAACGCGCGTAAGGAGGCGTCGCGACGCGAACGTGGGAGGGTGGTTCATAAATTTTCGGCTTTGCCGTTGATGCTATCCGTCGATGGAACTTCGACTGGACTTTTGCACGATGGTCTTTTTCAATTTTCCGTACGGGTTACCGTAAGTTCTCTCTAAATATTTATTTCTACTTTACATGCTTCGAAAAGTTCGAAACTTCTGACAATTTAAATAAACAAAATAGTAATATTTGTGACTCCAAGAATAAATCCAAGTAAAATAGTTTGAACTGCTAAGTTTTTATTTGACTTCCGCACTGCGTCTAGAGTTGAAATGTTTTTAACTTTGTTTAGTAAATACGTTCTAATTAGTTATACGAATTGCATCTTATCACATTATGAATAAGTACACAATTTACGCATCAATAACCGCGGAGACTCACAGATATTTCATTTATTGAATTTTAACAATTTATTGTCAACTTGATAGAACAAAATGTATGATCAATTATCAATTTTGTAAAATGTACCATTAAAAAATGTATGAATTCACATATTAGCGCCATAGTTAATAATTTTATACGATTATTACTACACTGAAAGAAACGATTGGCTGCTACAGCAAATTAAATGATAAAATATGGCATAGCATTTTTAATTGGCTGCAACATCGTCAATTAATTACAATATCAAAATCCTATACTGATATTACAAATAGGCTAACGCAATCAAAAATTGGTTGCTGCAACCAATTAAAAATGCTATGCTATATTCAGCCAATCTTTTCTTTCAGTGTAGTATAAATTTTGTAATTATATATTTATTAACGATATAAATATCTTCACAGTAATATACATGTAAATGCTTCTACTTAAACATTATTCATTTACTTAATAAATAAATTGTTAGCTTCATCATTACATGTGAGAGGAATGGTATTAATCGGATAAATTAATGTTTCAACGGAATCAATATGCATACTCTAGCGACGTGTCCGATAAAATCGTGTCTACCATTGAACAATGGCACGTCCTCTCTCGCAATCAGCAAAATCTGCCCTCAAGACATTCGAGTCACGATAAGGTTCTCAGACTGACTGCGCCAATTTCGGTTAATTGGATACCAATTAGATGAATCTCGGGCATTGCGACGGCGGACGAATTACGACGGATTTCTCGGTTTTCACGTGGGTATGATTCCCCTATCTGCTCAGCTTTTTCCTTAGCCATCTGTTTTGGTCCATGACGGGGGCGGAGGTAGTGTCGTTCGAAGACCGAATTTCCATTCGACGAATGACGGTAACCAGTCTCCTACGATGAATATCTATTCGTTTCATCGTTTTCGTCCTGTCGTCCGGGAAGAGAGAAGAACCAACTTTCAATTTCGACGATTGCGTACTTACAATGAATCACAATGCGATCGATATTTACTCTACGATAAATTGCTTACCGCAAAAATAGTGAATAGTATTCTGAGGATAAACAATGATCAATTTAAATATCTAAAGTTCTTTTTATTTAATTCGAAATAAAAAAAAACTTTCCTCAAATCGTAAGAATTTTAAGCAAAGTTCATTTAAGATTGCTACAAAAATGTTTGTAAAGTGGTTCATAAGTGATTAATATTATTACATAAATTATTGATCGTTTGGAGGCTATATTGAACTTTCAGTTTGTTTTGAATTGTTTAAAGAGATTTTTATATTAATATTATATAAAATAATTGTATAGAATAATAATACTGAGAATCTAAGGGCTCAAGATTTAGATGTTTAAATTCTTATTAAGCATTTTTTAAACTTTTCACTAAAAAAAAATCAACTTTATATTCACAGAGATAAAAAAAGAATTAAATGAATTTAAAAGACATTTGAAAGAAATGAAAATTTGAAGTAATAATTACGGAGCACTTTCAGACAATAAAATATTAAAATAACGTCTATCTCATCACATCTATAAGCAAACATTTATGTTTAATTCAACAATTCGATAATTCGCGGGAAACCGAGATCATGTAAGCAGATCAGAAGTATTGTATTATCGAACACGGTGGTGATGATAACTTCATACAAAGCGAGAACGAAGAGATAAAGTTCTCCAGCAAGTTGACTCTAATGTTCCACGGGAGCAAGTGGTTTCGTCAGCGCCTCTAACTACTTGCTAGTAGTTAATT